AGGAGCAAGATCGGGAGAATAAGGTGGATGAGGAATTTTCTCCCAACCACGTTCTTCGATCTTTTGTGACGTGATTCTTGCTGTGTGGGGTCGCGCATTGTCCTGATGAAACATCACCTCTTTTCGATTCACTAGAGCAGGTTTTTTTTCCTCAAAGCTTGGTTCAAACGCTCTAATTTCTGACAGTATATTTTAGCATTAATTGTTGCATTAGGTGGTAAGAATTCAAAGTGGATTATTCCTTGGCGATCCCACCAGATTGAAAGAAGAACCTTTTGCCCATGAAGTTCCCTTCTCGGCTGTGGCTGGGGTCCTTCCCCTTTATCAAGCCACTGTCTACGACGCTTAAAATTTCGATAAAAGATCCATTTTTCGTCGCCAGTCACAAGTCTTCAAAAAAGGTGAAACAAGTTGGTGAGAATGGAGAGAAGAGCAAATGTCAACTCGGGATTTGAGGTTGTTTTCAGACAATTCACGAGGCACCCACTTTCCAAGTTTAGGAACTTTTCCAAGTTGTTGAAGATGACGATGAACAGTTGTATGGTTTGAACTGAGAACCACTGCCAATTCCTCAACTGATAAAGCAGGATTTTCTTCAAGGGCTGCTTCAAGAAGCTTTTCATGAAACTCAACTGGACGTCCGGTTCGATCTTCATCTTCAAGGGTGAAATCTCCACCTCTGAATTTTGCAAACCATCTTCTGCAAGTTCTTTCATTCACACATTCCTCTCCATAAACTGAGTGAATGTTTCTAGCCGCTTCGGCTGCTGAGTTTCCTTTCTTGAACTCATAAAGCATTACGTGCCTCAAATGATTCTTGGGTACTTCCATGTTAGCAGGGTTTTAATCAAACAAAATTTAATTTTCTTGTTCTCTGAAATGAAATTTGATCAGTTTAAATGCATCTAAACATAAAAATAATGTTCAACTCCATTACACATTATAAAATACTCTTTATTTCGTTCATTTTAAAAAAGGTAAAATTCGGACAGAACTTGTGGGATAACCTGATAGATATTTCGTATTTTAAGTCGACCTCTACAGTATTTTAATTCCCCCGAACGATCTTTGATGAGAGAGGAACGAAAACCAGTCAGCTGTTTCTAAGAATCTTTAATATTGCCATTTATTGTGAATTTAAAAAAATGTTTTTATCGAATTCATTGCATTCTTCAACGTGTTACTGTATAATATTTAGTTTAGTTTATTTAAAAAAAAGACGAGAATTAAATTCCGTAAACAAAATTCGACTTGTGACTGCCTTTAATCTCCCACTGTTACAAGAGATACTAGTAACCATGTTTTCGAAGACTGATTTCTAGAGAGCGTTTATTTTAAGAAAATTGACGCAACACTGTCTTCCTTCCTCTATTCCTTTCCTCGTTTGTCTTAGCAAATATAAAACAGTAACTGGTTAGGATTTGAAAACTGAATAATAAAAGAAGAATAAAATAATATTCTGGAATCATTAATTCCTGCCTTTTAAAATAATTCCTTCTTTTTCCCATCACTTGAACGATTTAACGTTTTTATTGGATTGTATCAAATGTATTTTCATTTTTTTATTTAAATCTTTATTGCAAAACAATGCTTTCTTCCCATGATCCTTGTTCTCCTCAGTTTTCGAAAACTGATGAGCCGGACTTTCCTTGTCTTGCTTTTTAAAGCGTCATAATCAACAACTGACGGTCGTCCAATTCTTGGATTTTTTTTTTAAAGGGGAAAGTCATATTAAAAAAAAATGCTTTTACTAGTTTTAGAGAATACGATCGGGTATTGTTTCATTTCCTTCTATTTCCAGAATATTCAAAATTGACTAGTTTTTCCACTTTTCTAAAGCAGACATTAAACACTCGAGAGCGTTATCGCTTCTTTTCATTTTTCTCTTCTCTTTTTCCTTTCTTTCTTTTTCTCACTGAAACCAAACAGCGTCTCTTATATGTCTGTTCCCTCTCACTTCCCGATCGAAGCAGAATAGTCCAATATTTATAAAATATTGGTAGGGGGGTGACGTACATGCCAACTAACTAAGGAACACAGGTACAAACAGCAGAAAAATAATAACGAGAAATAGCCGTGAAAATTTAACGGTTTTCCTATTTGAATTGTTTGAAGAATTTTAATTAAGTTAATGATTGAATAAACTCATGACGAGTTATACAACAATAAAATATACATCGAATTTCCCCTATCGCATTATTAAATATGTAAGCTAAACAACTTTAACAAAATATTGCAATCACAATCATAAATATGAATGCTGGTCGTTATTTTAAGAAGTAAGGGGGTACAAATGAAAAGATTTAAAATTGATAACTTTCTATTTCACTGAAACAGCCGTTAAACACATGAGAATGTTATCGCCTCTTCTATCTTCCCTTTCTTTCGTTTTCCCAGTGAAACCATGTAGCGTATCGCTACATGGTTTCACTGGGAAATGGTGATATGTCTTGGTGATATGTCTTTTCTGGCTTTCCTCATAACCAAATCGAAATAATGGCAAGGCGTAATTTACGTGCTAACTAAGGAAGGAAAGGACATGCTGAATAATAATAATAATAATAATAATAATAATAATAATAAACTGATAACAGCACCATCCAAACATGGTTACGGACCTGTGACATAACAATTTTATGGAAATTTACAATACACACCGACAGAACAATCAAAGTTAATCGTCCAGACATCGCGATCAAAGACCACAAAAACAGAATGTCATTCCTTATTGACTTGACAGTTTATGAAGACTGTAATGTTGCTTTGAAAATTTTCAAAATACAAGGATCTTAAAATGAAAATCTCGAAAATGTGGCACATGAAGACATTAATAATTCCAGTTATGGTTGGGGGCCATCAGTTTGATGTAAAAAAAGATTTGGATAGACTCATTAAAATGATTTCCTGTCAGTCTATGTCGGGTATCTGGTATGTCTTTTCTGGCTTCCCTCATAATCAAATCGAAATAAGAGTAGTTGGTGTGGATCATAGCCGAAAGTTGTTGAAAGGTTATCCGCTGTTTTTATTAAAATCTGCAACCACACAATACTCATTTGGCTGTGGTGCGTGTGCCTGGTATACCATTGTTAGACTGCGTTACATGTTTATGGTATATTGGGATTCACATATTTGTGCACAATGCCTGTTGCTCTGCTATTCTCTCACACAAGAAGAAGAAGAAGAAGAAGAAGAAGAAGAAGAAGAAGAAGAAGAAGAAGAAACAGCAACAACAACAACAACAAAAAACAACTATGATTCGAACTGTGTCTTGAGACAACCTGAATTCTGAGAATGGTTTTGTTGATATAGAGAAGGGAAGAAATGACATGATTCCTGCTTATTTGTTATCATCCTCTCCTGGTCGTTAAATTGCCGCATAAGATATGCTTAAGAAAAAGATGGCAACGTTTTAAAAAATACAAAAAACTAGTCCGACGAAAGAACATTTTTCTCTTGACACTGCTATTACTGTATACTCCCGAGGACATTTTTATTCCGGTAAAAAGGTATTTTTGGAATTTTAATAAAACTTTAACCTATAAAAGAGAATTTATAGTTTTTTTTTTTATTAAGATTTAGCGACAAAAATGTTAAACACTGTTTATTTATTCAATTCTTCATTTACAAAATTATTCATTTTTAATCTGTTGATACTGCTATAACTATATGGAAATTCAGTTTTTGGTTTGTTTTTGGATGTTTGTGGTTTTATTTTGGAAAAAAAATAGAAAATTTAATGGTTTTAAAAACGTATTTTTAGAACTTTAATAAGACCGTACACATGAAACTGAATCAGTACCTTAGATTTTTCCTTGTTTTAATTCTCCAAGTGAGGAAGAGATTCGTTATTCAGTTTCATAAGTTATATTTAAATAGTCTTTTAAAACAATAAAAATTACCAAGAAAGTAAAAAAAAAAAAATAGTGTCAAAAGGACGTTTTTTTCCTTAAAGGCTACTTTGGACACAATTTTATATTTGCCTGGTCCTCATTTAAAAATTTTCCAATACAAATAATAATAATAATAATAATAATAATAATAATAATAATAAAATCTCAAAAATGTGGCATATGAGAACATCAACAATCCCTGTTGTAGTTGGAGCCCTAGGACTGGTTGGAAAAGATTCCAGTAGACTAATTGAAGGGATTCCTGGAAGTCCATGCCTCAAGGAGATATAAAAAATTGTTCTGACAATTACAGCCCACAGTTTACGAAGGGCTTTATCTATGTGATTTTTTTTTTTTTTGCAGTGGAAATTGTCATGATGCCATTTCTAACCCTAGGTCCCTGGGCGGGACCCGGAAAGAAATGTGTAAACGCCAGAAATCAAAGAAAAAATAATAATAATAATAATAATAATAATAATAATAATAATAATAATAAATTTGAAATGCTTACCTGAAAAAAAAAAGCTTTGAAGTAAAGGATTGTATAAAACGAAAATACTTTTGATACACACTGGTAATGAAAAATTTTGTGGAAGATTTGTGTCGTTCCATTTTATTGATGTTGCGATATTAAAATTGCTAAACAGAACGCAGTATCGAGATAAGCAAGCGAAGAAATTGGCTGAAAGGCGACGATCGGGAACTTCATCATCGATTAAGGCCCGGATTTAGCGTTATTCCTTCGACACTACACACAAAGCAGCTATTTGTAACATGAGGCCGAGATAGAGTGACTTTATGTTTGAAATCAATTTTTCCGGTGTCATCGTCGGCATTTCCCAGCCGCCCAATTATTACCTTTTGTCAAGTCAGCCAATTGGTTTGCACGTCACGATTTCATAAATCTATAAAAAGGATTACAGCTTTGCGACAAATCTATCTTCCAAATTGGGCAACTCAGGTCAGTTTATAGGTACACACATACACACACGTACACACGCGCACGCACCGCACGCACGCACACTGTGTGTGTGTGTGTGTGTTTATTCTTACATATAAGGCCTTTTTCCAAGTTACCATGCAAAAATGTGTATTCTGTTCGCGCTGGATTCAAATACTGCCGCCATATGGGTTGTATGCTAGATCGATAGATAAATAGATATTGAGACAGATAAAGGCAGATTGATAGAAGCATACTGAGATAGATAGATAGATAGATAGATAGATAGATAGATAGATAGATAGATAGATAGATCGATCGACCTGTGCAATTCTGGAAGACAACGCATCCAGCGCAATCCGTCTTTGCAAATACACAGCTCAGTATCAAGAGATAGAGCAATAATTATTATTAGTCGTAAAAGAATGAAATAATTTACCTACTCAGAATTCCATGGGCTTTTTATATGCAATCTTCAGAGATTTATTACATAGCAGTTCACTAAGCTGACAACTTTTGCGTATACTATCTATCTATCTATCTATCTATCTATCTATCTATATATATATATATATATATATATATATATATATATATAAATCAATAGCGGTTTTAAATGCCACTTAAGATTATTGCACAAACTTTCATAACTGAATCAATAAGCTGTCAAATCCTCATACGTCGAAGCCGACGGGAGAGGCAATTATTATTATATTATCATTAAGAAATAATTATACAAAGAATTAATTATTAATGTTAATGTGATTAATGGCGAAATCACTTCGCTAACAAGACTTAATGAGACATTAACTTACTATCAATTCTCTGAAGAACACGATCCTTATATTTGAATTATTGTCAGATGGAACTGACGATCTTGGGCCGAATACTTTCGACAATTTCAAATTGTCATCTTCAGGGCGTAATATTTATATTTACAGGTAAACACCAAGATGAAATAAATGTAGTGTAGAGCGAAAGATGTTTTTTTTTTTTTTAAATATGCTATTTATTGACATTCATATTATTTTGGAAGGTGTGATGCCGCAACGCTAGAATTCTTGTTTAAATGATTCAAGTGTTTACATGTAAATGGAAATATTACGCCCTGAAGATGACAATTTGAAATTGTCGAAAATACTCGGCCCAGGATCATCAATTCAATTTGACAATATAAGAATCGTGTTATTCAGGGAATTGATAGTAAGTTAATGTCTCATTAATTCTTTTAGCGAAGTGATTTCGCCATTAATCAAATTAACATTACTAATTAATTCTTTGTATAATTTCTTCTTTATGATATATGATGTACAATTTAATATACATACATACATACATACACAAACACACACACATATATATATATATATATATATATATATATATATATATATATATTACTTCAAGCGTTATTACAGTAGACATTTCGTATTTGAAATAGATGCCACGTTATTTATTAATATAATATGTATTACGTCTATCAACCTGCGCATTTGAGAAATATGCAGAGCAGTAAGCGTAATACCCAAAATTTAATTAAAAAAAAATAGGGCGTCCTATTTCTATTTGCGCTATAATAACGTTTAAAGTAATAAAAAAAAACTTGTAGGATTAAAAATAATTCCATTAATTCTTTAGAAATTGCTTTGTTTACATTTGGGATACAAAACTGAGCAGATACGGAGTCTCAAGAAAAATAATCTGAGTAAAGATGGTGTGCTTTTCTTAAAAAGGGGAAATAAGTGTGACGTTCTTCGTGGCCGAGCAACTAATCACGCCGGATCAAAAGGAAATTTTGGAGGCACGGTGGAGTAATGGATAGCGGCTTGGATTGAGGAATCGGAGAGCCGAGTTCGAATTCCAGTTGAATCCATTACATTCACTTACGTGCTAATACTCTTGGGAAAGGTGTGAATCCTCTTCTTCTCCCTTCAGCTATGGGTAAATAGCAGGACAGACGGGGTTCTATAGCCTTGGATGGCAAATGGTCTAGGAGAAGGACGACTCTGAATTCAAAACCTGCGGAGGTTCGTTTGGGGACCTTGTGGAACGTAGTGCACCATATCTCTTCTTCAAAAAGTGTGGATGGTCCTGCACGAAACCTTCCCCACTATAATCAAATCTCATGTGCTATACATTCGCGTTGGGGACGGCTTGTGAAATCCAAATTCCCATGAAACTCCAATATTGAAGCCGGCTCAACCCACCCCGGGTGAATGCCGTTACAAGAACAAGAGTACAAGAAGAAAAGGAAATTTTCGTCTACAAGGGGGGACTGCCGAACAACATATTTTCTTTACTAAGATTTTTCGAATGCACAGTCTAATAAACCTAATACACATTATTTAATAATTAAAAATAAGGCGTCTATTTTAAATAGTCCGCTATAATAACATTTTAAGTAATATAAATGCCGGATTAAAATAAATTTATTAATTCTTTAGAAATAAGTATATATGTATCTATATAAGGAAGCATTTGGTGCGTCTTATATATATATATATATATATATATATATATATATATATATATATGATAAAAATATAGTTTTAAGTTATGTTATATTTATGAGTTAACGTGCTCGATATAAGGAATAGAACTTATATAAATATAAACCGAATACGATATTAATATGAAAGCTAAATCAATCGCCCATACATTAGACCTAGACGACTGAATACATTGCATCGCTAAATCAGAAGCATTTATCCCACTAGAATACCACAAAGAAAATTTTAGAATAAACCCATCGTGCAAGCTCATAAAGCATGAACTAGGTAAAATTAGTAAAATAATACTAGAAGAAATTAATTCAAAAGTAAGAAAAAAGTGGGAAGACACAAAAGCACCTATAGACTGCTTCCGCAACCTATAAACAAACATAATTGTGTATTTAGGCAACGAGATATAAGATTTTTACCTTATTATAATATCCCATGCTGGATAAAGCCATTTCCTTAGCTCAAGAACATATAAAAATAAACGAAATAAAAAAAATCATATAAACACTCCGGAAAAATCACTATTATTCAACAACGAAGACGTCGGATAAATAAAGAAACTTTTGACATTACAATGGTAAGTTTTGATGGGGCAGAGACATGTGAGCTTATAGGTATACATTTGCTACACGAACTAAGTAACATAATCGATAAATATGAGACAAGCCTCTAGAAGGACGACGATCTCATAATCTTAAGAAACTGTAACAGATAAAAAAACAGACAAACCAGAAAAACACATTTGTGAAAAATATGTCATTCGACTATAGCATAAAAACTAACCTAAGAGAAGTAGATTTCCTAGATGTCGCATTCAAACAAGGAAATATTATAAAAATATAGAAAACCTAATGACAAACCACTCTATACACAGACATCTTATAATCACCCACCATGAATAATCAAGCAGATCCACAATCAGTTAAACGCAGGTTATCTGACGAATCTTCTTGCGAAAGCATCTACAGTTGCACCTAGAACATGACACAAAATGTAAAAAAAAAACGTAAGAAAACAACCAACAAGCCAAACGCACAAATCAAACCCACGTGTAACTGCAGAGCAAAGAACTAATGCCCCTTGAACGGCAATTACTTACAGAACAATTTAATATACTAAGTTACTGTAAAATCAACAGATAACGAAGAAAAACTATACATAGGAGTAACTGTAAACAAAGAAACTACGCACACAAAACATCCGTTACAAACAGTAAATACGCGAACAGCACAATACTTTCTAAACATGTATGGGAAATTAAAAACAAAAACCAAATCACACCAAAATATAGTGGAAAATAAGGAAAAAAGCATCAGCCGACAACAATAAATCCCAAAACTGCAAACTGTGACTGGAGGAGAAAATGGCTATAATTACCTTCCCAGACCAAAAATAAATAAATAAATACTAAATAAACGATCAAAACTCATTTCAAAATTCAGATACGAAAGCAAATATTAATACGTTACTTAAAAATCAAAAATTAAAACGATCAAAAAATAAAGATAAATAAATAAATATAATAAATTAATAAGTAAATAATAAAAAATAACAAACTACGAAAGCAAACATAAACACAAGTAAACGTAATAATGACAACAACAAACAACAAAGATGTTAATAATAATGTTCGCAAACAACATTATAAAAATAGTCACAAAACTTTACTTGGATCCACAGTCATTTCTACTCAATAGCCCCGAGAATAATTTTAAACAAATTTTACCGCCCACCCAATAACCGTTCGAACAATACAATAGACCTACCCATAATGCATGTCTGACCTGCATATATAAATAGTCAAGCCAAAACACAATTCATATGATCTGATTATTGCGTTTAACCTGGTTGTTGAGATCAATGTAGACTTTTATGATTCCAGTGGTTTTTCCAAGTTAACATGAAAAAAATTGTGTTCTGTTTGGGCTTGTTCATTTGGGTTGTATGATAGATAGATAGATAGATAGATAGATAGATAGATAGAAGCAGACTGGGTAGATAGGTAGATAGATTGATTACATACATACATAGACGCAGACTGGGTAGATAGGTCGATACATAGAAGCAGACTGAGATAGATAGATAGATAGATAGATAGATAGATAGATAGATAGATAGATAGGTAGATAGATAGATAGATAGATATTAGGTTGGTGCAAAAATAATGACGTAATAATGTCGTTTTTGACCTTAAAAATACGTCAAAAAACGACATTATTACGTCATTATTTTTGCACCAACCTAATAGATAGATAGACTGAGATGGATGCATATTTAACTGACTTTGTATCGCGTTAAGCAAATTTCTGTCATTATTGATAGCTACATAAAAAAAAATAATTCGTTCGTGATCTGGTTCGGATAGTCTGTTTGTTTTTGTCAAAGATAACCCTAAGAACGAATGAAATCGATTAGAAAGAGACAATTGAGGACAGACAGGCTATCAAATAAAAGTAAATATCCACTAATTGCAAGTGAAATAAACTTGAATTAGTGTTTGGTATTTCCAATAGTAACTGACTTTTCAGCGTCACATTAACGCAGGTTTAATTTGTTTCGGAGAAAACACTTCTTGTTCGGAAGTTCTCGAAAATATAAAGTCCAGCTGAGATTTATATAAGCACGACAGAATAAAACTGGCACATATTCAATCATTCTTTCATTATGGTATTGTTTATCGTAGCCCGTCGAATCTTCCACTCCTACATCGACAGCCAGCGTTCAATTGAAACGAACTGGCTTATTTTTAAGCCTGCTGTGCGTATCCACTTCCGTTACAAAAAAAAAAATGAAAAGAAAGAAAAATGTTTAAATATATATAAATATACTCGTATCAATCAGAAAAAAATCCTTGCACTTTCAACCAATATTTCGTTTGCAAGCTACTTCAGCACTATATAAACCACCATCAATTCGACCCTGATGTAGAAGGCTCATCCAAGCTACAGCAGACATTTATCATTTTCAAGTGAAGCCCGATACTGACGATCGAAGAGGCGCAAGAGTTGTTAACAACAGCAGCCGAGCCCGCTACGCGCTAAAAACCTTCTACTATTCGATAAAGCTCATGCACGTGTATATTTTCATCGCGTGATCGTTCTTTTTAACTGCAATGCAGTATCAACTCTTTTGTATGCAGTAGAATCCCTAAGCGAACTCTCTAATTATATTTGTCTATCACCAAAGGCGAAAACGTAAATAAATCTTCCTTTTAACTTTAACAATGCTTCATCTCCTTTATCATGTAGTCTATCAGATTCTTCTCGTGTAAAACGTTGTATTATGATACTCTAGACAACACGCTCGAACAATACCCTTTCTTACTCGCTGATACTGTAACCCTTGTAATATAAATATCTGGAGATTTTATATAAAAGAACTGATTTATTATATTTTTCAATATCGGGTAGCTGTTTCCCTAGATGATACTCTACCAGTCGACATAGCCTCGTCTAGGGATCCTCTCTGCCCGGAGGTAGAGAGTTTGACCAGCACAGCCAGAGACGAATCTCCAACTGCAGGATATTTACCAACCGCCCCACGCGGTCAGATGTTGATCAAGGCCGAATTTAATGTGGGCTATCCGAGCCCGTAGGCTCGACCAAAATTTCCACGTAGACCCAGTATAAAACGGGGTCGGTAGCTGAACTGTTTTATACGGGGTCTACGTGGGATTTTAGTCGAGTCTACGGGTTCGGATACGCCATATTAAATTCGGCCTTTCAATTATATGAAATACTTTCATTCAATATCTTTATTCTCTTGGTACGGTTTTATCATCAACTCTATTGTGTTTTGATTAAGGATTTCTCTTAAAGTGTATGAAACCTTCTGCGAATGTCTCAGATATAGAAAGTCCGCTGTGAAACTGTAAATAAAGTACCTACTGAGTCTATTTAATTTGATCTGAACCTATTTCAGAGGTCAAGTGGAAGGTCAACAAGCCCTCGGCAAAGACACGAATATCCATTTTTACAATGTCGGACTATACTCTCTCCACTTACTGCTCATCCATTCTTCGTTCACATTTAATCAAAGAGAAAGTCGTTTTCATGAGACGCTATTTTTAAAAAGATTTTATCTAGTTTTCGCAATCCTTTCGTTGACATTGAAAATATGGATTCTCTGAAAATTTAGAGAGGATGAATAATTTTATTAAGAAAAATTTGAAATTGATACAAATTTCAGAGTATAAGTATTTTTTGTTACAGTTGATATGGCTAGATGCAACCGTAAGTTCTATGCTAGCAGTTTCTTTTCTCGCACTTCTCGCTTGTGGAAATCTCTTCTCGGCTCCTTGCTTTCCAACCAAATTTGATCTTCAAAAATATAAATGCAATGTGAATCGTCATCTTTCCTAATTTCTGTTTTTTTTTTTTTATTGTCCCTGCTCCTTAATAAGGTTTGTGTTTTCTTATATTCTCACACACTACGTCTTAATGGTTTTGTTACCTTGCTAAGGGTGAAATGATTAAAATTAAAATAGTTGTATATTTTATTTGTGATTGATGACGTAAAGTCGTCTTTCATTTTCCCAAGAAGACAGAAATCAATTGGCTTTAAAGTTTGAACAAAAAGAAAAAAACACCCCTGGAACTATTTTATGACTTTGGTCTACGTACGCGTAAGGATATTTAAAAGGCCTTGCGCCGTATTCGGAACGAATGGGCGTTCTATCAGATATCTTAACCGTTCAAATTAATAATTGCATTGAACTTCTCTTTTTGTAGTGTTCAGATTGAGGAGCGAATCTGTTATCTTCGGTGTCAGATTTTATTACTGGTGGAGCGACTATGATGTGTAAAACCTGAAACTCGTAATGAAACCGAGGCATAGCATAAAGACTTGCATCGGCGCATCTTGACTTATTTTCCGAAACGAATGTAAATGAAAAAACGTAGATATATACTTAAATTCTATTACTTATTTGTCTTTGGTATCACCAATTTGTAATTTGCATGATGGGCTGTCCCTTATTCTAACAACCATTCTATTGCAACCTAGGGAAGGCTATTGAATAGAATAATCACACAAAGGTTGATAATGAACGATAATACTTAGGACAAGAACAACATATATAAGATTCGCCTGCAGCACGTAGAGGAAGTAGTCAACTGCTAGAAGCGAGTCAAGTGAATTCCACAATAAATCTCCAACTGCAGGATATCTGCTAACCGCCCTACACGGTCAGATGTGGCACGAGGCCGAATTTAATATGGTGTATCCGAACCTGTAGACTCGGCTAAAATTCCACGTAGACCCCGTATAAAACAGGGTGGGGTAGCTGTTTCCCTAGATGAAACTCTACCAGTCGACATAGCCTCGTCTAGGGATTTTCTATGCCCGGAGGCAAAGAGTTTGACCAGCACAGCCAGAGACGAATCTCCAACTGCAGGATATTTACCAACCACCCCACGCCGTCAGATGTTGCTCAAGGCCGAATTTAATGTGGGCTATCCGAGCCCGTAGGCTCGACCAAAAATTCCACGTAGACTCCGTATAAAACGGGGTCGGGTAGCTGTTTCCCGAGACAAGACTCTGTACTTAAACATAGCATCGTCTAGGGATCCTCTCTGCCCGGAGGCAAAGAGTTTGACCAGCTGCAGACCAACATACTTACGGGACATACTCATTATCGTCCGTAGGTATGCTACAACGCATTCATTCTGTTATCTTACAATTGATGTTTAACCCATTATTTTCGTTTTCCTTAACTATCTTCTGTAGGAATGATTGTAGTTTCCTTTCTGTGTCTACTATCAACACTGTGTAATCTGCATACCTCATGTTGCTAAGATTGTTGCCGACAATAATTAATTCTTGTCAGACTTCTGATTCTCTGAGAATTGGCTCATTGTATAAGTTGAATAGTTCTGGTGAGAAGACACATCCTTGTCTTACACCTCTTTCTATTTTTGTATATTTGCTAAATTCATTTTCTATCCGTTTGCAGGCGGTTTGCTGCCAGTATAGGTTCAGGATTAAACCAATATCTAAACGCGTAGAGTCGCGATCTTTTATTTTTTTACTATTGTTTAGTGAATAAAAGTCCTAAACGCCCACACAACGTAGAAGTTTACTGAATGGGAATGCTGCGTATAATGAGGGGGCATATTATAAGGATATGTAGGATAGATACTGGTTGATCTTGAAGATGTTAGAATTGTAGTGATCATAGAAACAGCCCTTCGAATGTCTGTTCCACATTACAAAAATTCAGGAGAAGAAGATATCTGAGGGAACTTACTCCTTACCAATGGAATATGAAGGGAATGATGATGATTCGACACATGTCTAAATGGAATGGCGGGTCCTAGCTGTGAAATTCTGAACTGGTGGAACCAAGGAATGTAGTTCGTCTGAACATCTGCCTTGAAAATAACGATAAAGCTGTGAGGAGCTAGCAGCGTTCAGTTTATAGGAAAGGGGTTGAAGATTAAAAAAGAATTCATCAACCACAAGGAGTTGGCAGATGTGGCAGCAGTACTCCTTTTTTTTTCAGCCCGAGCTGGTTCTTGTAGAGAGAGAGCATGGCAGGAGGAGTCAGGTACTTTCTGGAGCGGTACATGGAACTGGCCATTTTTGCAGCGCCCAGGAAAGGATCTGCTCCAAGTCGGGGCAAGTATGATGTGCAAAACCCGAAACTTGCAATGAAATCAGCACACGTGGCTGGTAACTCGCCCCGGCACATCTTTAATGTGTCTTTATTGAATTTCTTTTTTATAAAACCGAGTCCTTAATAATTTTCTTTTTGAGAAATCAATTCTAATGACAAATCTATCATCCTAACTTCTAATCATACGTGGCAGTCAAGAACAAATCTAAAATGCACTAACATAGTTTAGTTTTTGCGCGACAGTGGCAGCGTACACAACGGATTAAATAAAATATGTTATTCTCCTCCATAACAAGGCCACATACAGAAAGAATAACAGAAAAAATGTGCAACTCGGTTGGTCTGTTCTGTTACTCCAGACATTGTACCAATTGATCTCTGCAAAATGTCTACATGAGGGAAAACCTTCTCTGACGAAGACAAGATTTGTGAGTTCAACTTGCGGGATTTACTTATCACGTATCAGTAGAGGTAGATGGAGGTCAATTCCCCTACGATCACCGAAGTTAAGCAACGTCGAGCCTGGTCAGTATCTTAGATGAGTGATCGTTTGGGAATATGATGGTAACAAGTTATTGTAAATAGTGGTGAATTTATAATTGAATAAAAAGTGATTGTAATTTATATTCTGAAGACTAAAGTTGATAGACGCAACC